AAAGACCCACCCCAGCCATCGTATTCTGGCCGTGAAAGCCTTCGACAATACATTACCGATGGTAATTTGTAGAAATGACATAAAGATAATTCAATGATATTATTTTTGTAATACAGGTAGTCCTCGAGTTATGACCATTCATTCAGCAACCGTTCGAAGTTACGACGGTGCTGAAGGAAGGGGCTTATGACTGGTCTTCGAAGCACCCCTGCAGTCATGTGAACAAAATTCGGGTGCTTGGCAACCAGCTTGCACTTACGACCAGTTGCAGCATCCCACGGTCATGTGATCACCATTTGAAACCTTCCCTGCCAGCTTCCCACAAGCAAAGTCAATAGGGAAGCTGGCAGGGGACGTTGCAAGTTGCTTGGGTAAGTCTTCCCCCACCCACCCTTGCCTTTCTCCACTCACATGTATCACACCCTCTTTCCCCCCTTTGCACATACACATGCACTGCACCCTCCTTCCCTCACTCATGTGCACCATGCCCTCCATTCCCCTTCACTCGCTCGCACACATGCACTGCGCCCTCCTTCCCACCTTTGCTCGCTAGTGCACACTGTGCCCTCCTTCCCCCTTCGCTCACATGCATGCACCCACCAGCGCCCTTCTTCCCCACTGTGTTTTGGGTAATGAAGGAAAATGTTTGGGAAGCACTGCCTTAGAATAAGAAGATTACAAAATGAACCAGCCATTTTAAAATGTAAGGTCTTATTTTAGGAAATAATTACATTATGTTTTCTTTAGGTCACAGTGATTGTCTAGAATTGCTGATTTCTTGGGGCATAGAAGTTGATCAAGATGTTCCTCACCTAGGAACACCTCTATATGTGGCTTGCTTTTCACAGCAGAAACAGTGTGTTCACAAACTTTTGCATTCAGGTAATATATATCGTTTAATGTATTTTTATTCTGCTTTCTCCTTGAACTGAACTGGTCTTTCAGTATACAGAAATACACACACACACACACACTGTTTTATATTTGCTATAAATAAAGCCAACAAATACATCTAATTAGGCCCACTTTAGTAGCTCTGCATGGATTTCAGATCAACCAAGAACATTACCTTTAAGTGTAATTTATTTCTGAACAATAAATTATTTACTTCTTCTCATTATCATCATCACCATCATCATCAGAAGATGATGTATATTCTGGAACCCATTAATAATAAACACACAGGAAAGTATTATTTTAATAGGTTTCAAATGATATTTATCATAATTAATCCATATTATATCAACAATACTTCAAATTATGTCACTTTTCAATTTATTTATATATGAAACTCAACAATCCTCAGATCACTATGCACATTATAGCTAAAAAAAATAAAGTTCGTGACATCCCTTGTTTTAAAGACCCATACTTTCTTTTATAACTCAATCCATGTTAACTTAGTGTCTTTTTAACTCTGGCATATTCAAAAGTAATAAATAAATATGCATGATTGTTCTGCTCATTCTGGATGGGACTGTTATATCTCTGAAAGATCAACTAAGGCTATATGTTGACTGACTGATTACCTTTATATTTTATTACTACAACAAAAAAGCAAATACTTCCTTAAATTCAGTTCCTGGTGATTTCAAACACATGCCCAATAACTTTCTTACCAACAATTTAGAAGTGATTTGTCATTAGATTTTTTTCAGGATGTTTTCTTGACTTCCCAGTTTAGTATACACTCCTGGGAATTCATGGTGATCTCCTATCTAAATATTAGGTCTGATCCTGTTAGTTTTTTTTTTTTCCCCAAGATTAACCAAGTTGTATAAATGCTGCCACGTGCTGTGATAAATAAAATATCAAGGCAAAACCCAAAACAAACATAAGAGTTAAAAATAAATCAGGGGCAGAAGCTTTCATAGCTTAAGAAAGCTCCAACCAAAGGTTAACAGAACAGGCATAAATCAAGTCCACTTACAATTGCATTTGCTTGTAAAGCTGAAAATTAGGTTCCAGCATTTGAGTTGCAAGGAGTCAGGCAGCAGCAGCGGTACCTAAGTCAATCTATCCAGAAGTCTAGGTTCAAGATAACCAGTTATCAAATCCAGTCTCATAACCAAAGAATCCACATAGTCAGGAATTGCCTGTGTATTTTCAAAGTAGGATTATTACCAAGAAATCTCCCTATTGAGGGGCCTTAAAAATTCAGGGCTCTATGTCCCCCATCCAGAAGCAGCTGAAGCTAGGCAATCTTGATTTATTAGGGTGAGATACTACAACGCTTCACTCCCATCAAGAGTTTCCTCTTGCAAATGGCCATTTCTTCACCTTTCTGGTTTCAGGGTCTCCATATGTTCTTGGGGACTGGAGGGCCTTGCCTTCAGTTTCAGGCCAGAATACCTTATGTTTCAGTGTTGATACTAGGCCTTGGTTCCTTAATATCTGAGTTACCAAATTCATCAGCTTGGTCCTCTTTTGAGGAAGATTATGGGTCCTGCTAGGCCCTGACAGAAACAAAGAAAAAGAAAAGCATACATGCATACTGATATGAATACATACTGTATGTGATCTTAAGAAGAAATACAAACAGCCATATTCAATATTTTGATCCAGAACATTATTTATACAAAGCTAATCTATCAGAAAAAGCATTGTTAACAATTAATTATGACCAATTTAGAATACATTTATCATTCATTGTTACGTTTTGAACAATCTTTGTTGTATTGTTTTTTCAGTTGCAGTAATCTTTATAAGGCCACCCAACTCAAACAATGTGACTCTGGGCAGCATACAACAGAAAAATAAACAATAAACCAAAAGAACCAAATTACCTAAAATATACACAATATGTAAGCGTAAAATGCAAAGTATCAAATGATGACCAAACACAATAATAAAAGCAACCAAAAGGGGATTCTGTTCAGGTGGACCCAAATGTCTGGGGAAAACGCCAGGTCTTAACTGATTTTCAAGCAGAGTTGGGGCCTGTCATATTTTGGGAGGAGATTGTTCCACACCACAGGGGCAGTCACTGAAAAGGCATGCTTCCTAAGTCCCATAAGGTGCCAAAGTTTAAAAGAGGGAACCTCTCTATGGAATTATGTGGGGTAGGTAAATGTTCTTCAGAGAATGTGGTCCTCCAAGTATCCCAGTCCTATACCATGTAGAGCTTTAAAGGTGATAACCAGCATCCCGAATTGCACCTGGAAGCCTATTGGGAGCAAGTGCAGTTTACGGAGTAGCAGTGGTACCTGGGCATAACAAGCTGTGCCCATAACTACCCACACCACTGCATTCTGGATTACCTGAAGCTAAATACCATGGATCCAATAAAAGACAAATTTTAAGAAACCTAGTGGCTAACAGTGAGAGCCAGTTTGGTGTAGTGGTTAAAGGCAATGGGTTATAAACTGGGAGAACATTATTTCTAGTCCTGCCTTAGGCGTGAAACCACCTAGGTGACTTTGGGCCAGTTACTCTCTCAGCCATAGAAAGAAGGCGATGGTAAACCACTTCCCAAAAACATTCTCAAGAAATTGCATGGACTTGTCCATGTAGTTGCCAAGAGTCAAGGTGGCTGACTTGAAGGCACATGTGTGTTTGTCTGTGTGCTTGTATGCATGTATAACAATAGAAATTAAACTGATTTCTTATATTAACATTTTGAGTAAATTTATATGACACCAAATCTAGTTAGAATCCTGATGGCTTATAGAATAATTAAAATGTCCGTAGTATAACAATAACAATGTAAAACAATAAAATGTGCCCAGTAAGGATGTAAACAATTGTAAACAATCCCACAGTAAAATTAAACACAGCAGCAGTCTCACAATAATATACAAAATAGCATTTAACTATCAAAGGCCTTCTGGAAAAGCTCACTGCTTTCTGGAAGGCCATCATAGTGGGGGCTACCTTAATATCTAAAAGGGATCCGTTCCACCGTGTTGCTGCCATAACCATAAACATTGTTTCCTGCCTATAAGATTTCTGGGACATTTCCCAAGCATCTCTTGGAATCCATCTGGATCCATAAGGCATTTGTTTGTACCATCATAACCAATCCATTCACTACATAGGAGTCCAGATTGACAATCTTATTTGGACAACATAATCTAACTACAGCAAAGCGCTGAGTCAAATGCCCTCCATATTCAGCTCACACAGGCCCAAGATTATCTGGGAAAGCCCACGGTTGGCATGAAAATCCAAGTTGTTCCAGCCCTAGCCCCCATGGCATGGAGGATAACATCCCTTAACACTAAAACCACCCACCCTGAGCTCATACACAAGCAGGATCCCGATCTTGTTACTATTATCCAGCTTACCACACAAGCATTCACACCCCAAAATCTCAGGGGGCAGAGGCCCTGATCACAGGCAAGGTATGGACATATCTCCAAGAGGTGACATTGCTACCTCCACCCAACCAGCTTTTGGAAATACACACCAGGTACTTTCTTTATCCACCAAATCATGGATAAATAAGTCAGACCTGTTAGTTACTATCAGCAGCAAGAAGCTAAGGTTATCAGTGATCGGATCATCAAGACCACAGGGCCAGAAGAGGGGGCTGCCACCAACCTGTGTCCCCTGCCTACTGTGATTGGTTCCTCACCTCCATCAATATGGAATTCACCCCCAAACAGTTACCAGATTTCTCCAACCTTCTCTCACTACTGCACATGCACACATTCTGTACACTCATCATTTGGAAAGTCAGCATTTACAACATTTATATATTAAAATGCTAGATATATTAAATTAGTCTAGTCTAGTCTGATCTGATCTGATCTTCACCCTTGAAGGGACTACTTCTCCTGTTATGAAACTGTATGACTGTTAATATCTATAGGAGAGGCACTACTAAAGATGCCTTCGCTATCCAAGGCTCATTTCTCCGACATACAGGAGAGGGTTTTCTCCTGCACTGTTCCCAAGATGTTTAATGTACTACCTGAGTTGTGTAAAGCTGTCCACGCTTTCTGCTTTAGAGAAAAAAATCCAAGACACATCTATTTTACTGGGCTTTTACTTTTTAATTAGTTTTACTATTATATACAAAGTTATATTAGCTGCCTTTAGTACTCACTGGTGTGGAAAGGTAGAATATAAGTAAAACAAATTGCTAACAAATCTTTATTTCTAAGAAACAAAAATTAGATACTGTGATTTGACTATGACCCTTTATTAAAATATCCTTAGGTTAATATAAAATGCATCATATTATAAATCTATAGGTGCAAATGTGCAGAAAGGAAAGTTTTTGGAAACTCCATTGCATGCAGCTGCAAGGCTATCTAATACAGAAATAATAAACATGCTTCTTGAGTTTGGAGCAGACATAAATGCCAAAAATACAGAGTTTGAACGACCAGTAGATGTTGCTGTTTCAAGCAGCTTGGTGGAAAAGATATTGCTACTACATGAAGGTAAGGTTCATATTTCCTCTTTCTCTGTTGCTATTGGGTTTTGGATGGCTGCACGAAGATCAAGCTTCTTTTCCCCCCCTCTTTCTCAGTGCTGAGGAAGCACATAGATTATATTTAGAATAAGGGGAGAGGAATTTTCCATCCTCCTCCTGTCTGATTAGAGTAGGTTGCAAACTTCAGTTTCTCCTGGGGAAACTGTTATTTTCTCTACCCTAAATTTATATTTTCTTCCCCAAGTCATTTCAAGAAGTCTTTTTGAACTTTGCAAATATTTCTTAATTTTTCTTACAGAAAACACGTATATGTACTACATATTTATTATATGTATATCAGTAAAAACGGCAGACACATACAAGAAATCAAATATATTCAACTGAAATGTCTGTTTGGATATATCATAAAATATATATAATATAATAAAAACAAAATGTAAGTTCTTGAGGATACTGAACTGCCACCTAATTTCATTTTTTATTCACTTGCAGTTACTCCGTGTTCTCTTTGCCAGCTGTGCCGACTAAGAATCCGAAATTATATAGGAAAGTCTAGATTGCATCTTGTGCCACAACTTCAGCTGCCAAAAATCTTGAAAAACTTCTTACAGTACCGATAAAATAGTGATTAGTTTCTCAGAACTTGAAGAAGTATTTTACAATATGCTTCACATGAAAAATTGATAGGATAGGGGACAGCCTAAAACACATCTGTACATTAAAATCATGCTGCAACACAATTTGGGATTCCTTGAAGCACTACTATAATTAAATATAAAATGTATTCATATTTTATAGAGCGGTACAAATCCTTTGAAAAAGGTGTGGAATGCAAGGGAATATGTACAAAGACCCTCTTTTTGAATTATTAAAGCAACCAGATATTTAATAAAAAGCTGCTTCCAGCTATGTCCGCTTATGAGGTGGCTGTACATGCACATGTATGCAGACAGAGCCAGGAGAAACTTTTCATGCAGCTACGTTAGCAATTAAAAAAAGAGAGACAGGTTTTGTACACTCCTCCACATGTTCCAAAGCATGTCTTTTGAAGGACTTATACAGCCCTAATATTTTGAAAGTGTGTTATATTTGACAATGTAGTGTCTACTGATTAATCACTCCATTTACATTTTACTGTTGTTCAGTCTTTCCAGGAGACTGTACTTTGCGCTGCAAATGGTAAATTCTTGCAGGAATTCTGATTTCTTTTTCTCCAGCGCAGTATTTTCTTAAAACTACTAGGGTGGTAGTGGGGAGAAAGAGAACTGAGATTTCACATAAATTAATGCTTCCAATCCTTTCCATATTTGTTCTCTGTATAAAATTCCCTGAACTGTGATCCCAGGATCACAAGGAGCTTCCCAAGGTTTGGATGCAGTTCCAGACCAAGTTTTTTTCCAAAATGCAACTGAAAAGAGAGGCTATCAAGCACAATAGGACTGGGAAATGATCATACTAATTTCATTTAATAATTTAATTGCAATTAAATTTAAATTTAAATAAAATCTAATTCAGTTTTTGTCCTAGGAGTGCCCATTTTCTGCTACGTGCCCCCCCCCAGTATGATATTTGGCCTAAAAAAAGATTATTATTCCTATTCTGCAAGAATTAGCTTAACTGGAGAAGATTCAGCTCATTTGCATTTGTAAGGCAAGAATATATAACCCTTAGTAGTAGGTTTGTCTATTTAAATACTGGTGCTCCCACAGAAGCTACTTTCTTATATGTTCCTACTGCAGTTGAAAGAATGGGAGATTAACTGCCTTTTAGTGTATTATTGGTCTTTTAAGAGCTAGAATTGAATGATCCCACAGTGTATTTCTGTCTTCAAAAATTTTATGAAATGCTATGTAAGTAACTATGTAGGTAGTGGGAATAGGGGAGAATGTTTTGAAAATCTAGATCTTCTAAGTTTTCCATAAAATCCATCGTTTAGTTTAATTATTGTTTGATTGTTATATTCTGAGTAAAGATGAATGAATGTGCGTGTGTGTGTGAATACACAAGATGTTAAATACATATTCTTTCTCTCTCTTTATCTCTAAAATAGATATACATATATAAAACTTGAAAGATGGTTAAACAAATAGGTGTCATTTTTTTTTCAGACCTCTCCTGCTTATATACTTTAGGAAGACCTACTGTACTATTGTGAATTTACCTACCCTCTAACTGTCCTGGTATCACCCAAGAAATTTCAGGACAAAATAGGGACTTAACCACTCCTGCTTTAGCCTACATAATGGTACCGTAAATGTTTGTATATGTGATTATTTTTCTTCAAAATACACATAAATTACAAAGGGCACTTATATGAATAAAAGATTAAATAAATAAAAAGCACAAACCAGATTTGATGGCACTAGACCTCAATAGTAATAGTAATTCTCATATATATTGGGACTTGGGCTTTAGTTGTATTATGACTCCTTTGTTTCTCTTTGTATGAAAATTCCAAGGAAGCTTTGTCAATTGGTATAATTATAGAGTTGAAACAGGACATTTAGACTGTCAAGTCCACCCCTTGCTTAGAGCAGGAATTCAAATTAAAGCACCGCCAATGGAAGACTATCTAACCTCAATTTGAACACATCCAGTGAAGGGGGCCCCACCACTTTTATGAGCAGTTCTTCCACTGTCAATTTTTACTGACTTTTGTAACATTCAATTGGAACCTGCCTTCCTGTAACTTAAACTCATCATTCTGTGCTCTGGAACAAGAGAGAATCGATCTTGACTTTCTTCAATGTGACATCCTTCCAGGTGTTTGAAGAGCGCTATCATATCCCCCCAGTCATCTTTTTCCAAGACTAAATGTTCACAGCCCTTTCAGTCTCTCTTCATAGATTTTTTTTTCTTGGAATATCAGTCAATACATTTTATTACGGTCACCAACCAGTACAAGCGGCAATTCTATAAAAGAATACACTTTGAGGCTAAAAAGTGATAAACCAACTAAAATCGAATAGATTTAAAGTTACAAGTTCCAGTTAGTATTAAAATACATTTATATCACAATTTGAATGAGCTCCTTAATCAAACTTAAATACAATCTTATTAATTTATATTATAATAACTAGTATTTTGTTGGATATAAACATATATAAGAGCAAAGGTAAATATAATGATATACTGTATATACAGCAAAAGTTGTTACAAAGGGCACATTACTGCAATTTTCCAATCACAATCTGATGGATCTTCATTGCAGCTGCGCAGAACCTGGCTACCTGCGCTGTAGCAATTGGCTGTTCATTTATAAGTACCATTTGCATATAGTCTGTATCTTTACGCCCAGGATATTTGTTGATCAAGGGTAAAATTAATTTACTCCGGAGCTCTTTATAAAGAGGACAATGAAGAAGAACACGGTCTGTAGTTTCTACCTCTCCAATGTCACAAGAGCACCGCCTTGCCACTAATGGAATTTTTTTATATCTGCCATCCAGCACTGCAGAGGGGAGAGGATGGCTTTGGGCTAAGGAAAACCTTTCCGATGACTAGGAATTTCAAGATGAGTAAGGTAGTTAGCAGCAGTGATGATAAATCTACTATACACTGGAGATAGGAAGTAAGGAGCCTTCCCTAAATCCGCCTGGCGCTCTATATCTTTTGTCCTTTGCTTCAAGGCCAATTTTTCCTGTTCATATTCCATCCTCAGAATCAGAGTCATGGAAAATCCTAGCTTTGAGAGACTAAGATCAGTGTCCTTTTTCCAGGAAGATTGGAAATTATCTTGAAAGATAAGTAGCACTAAACCTTGAGGGTAATACTTGAGCTTTAGCCAAAGGTTCAGGGAAGCTAGGCAAACTCTGGCCTCAACTTTTATCATACCTGCTTCCAGTCAAAGATAAGCATTTGGCACACATCTGGGCATTTGGAGTGCTGCTCTGATAAATTTTGATTGGACTCTTTCCAGGGATGTCATACTTGAAGTTGGGAGAGCCAATGAAGGACCCGTAAAGGAGCTGGGCTAACGGCTTAGCCTGGAAGAGTTTAAGAGCTGCTGGTACATAGTACCCTCCTTTGTGCCGGAAGAATTTTAGGATAGCATTCGCTGATCTTTGTCCAGAATCGGCAGCATAATCACAGTGGGCTTTCCTCAACCCCATAGCGTGCATAACTACACCGAAATACTTGAAGCTAGTCACTTGCTCTATTCTTTGTCCGTTTATATCCCAGGGATGGAATTTCGCCCTTTTAGTGAAGGCCATGATCTTGGTTTTCTGATAATTTATTTCCAGCTGATTGTTGATACAATATCAGGCCAGAGTTCTCAAAGCTCTATTAAAGCCTATAGGTGTCCTGGAGAGTATAACCGCATCGTCTGCATAAAGCAGTAAGGCAATACTTCAGTCCCCTAATTTGGGGGGGGGGTGAAAATCCAGGTGATTTAGACACCATATCATTAATATAAAAGTTGAAAAGTAGAGGAGCCAAAATACAACCCTGTTTCACCCCCTTTTGTACTTTAATCGGCTTTGAAAGGAATCTGTGCCTGTTACATCTGACTTTAAGGACCGTATTGGAATATAGAGCACAAATTAAATGGAGGAGCCTACTGTCTACTGAAGCAACTTCCAGCTTTTCCCACAACTTAGTCCTAGATACAGAGTCGAAAGCTGCCTTTAGGTCTATAAAGACAGTGTACAATGAAGTTATCTTGTTGGTACAATATTTTTTAATCAGATGCTGGAGAACCAAACATTGTTCAATTGTTCCCCTACCCTCTCTGAAGCCAGCCTGCTCATCTGCTATCAAATTTCCCTGATCCAACCAATCCTTGAGTTTTCCGTGAAGATGTCTAGCGTAAAGCTTGCTAATTATGTTTAGTAGACTAACAGGCCTGTAATTTGCAGGGTCATCTATCTTCCCTTTTTTAAAAATCAGGACTATAATAGCCAAGCCCCAGTCCTCTGGGATTCACCCCATATTATCAAGATAGGTAAAAAGCAATGCTAAAACTGGGGTCCACCATTCTACATTATTCTTTAATACTTCCGCTGGAATAAAGTCCATCCCCGGAGCCTTCCCTTTTCTGAGTTGTCCAATAAGAGACTTGATTTCAGATGCTGATACTGGACGCCACTCCGTTAAGCCTTTGTTCATTTGTGTCGACATCTCATTATTAGGATCCTTGTACATCTCCTGAAAGTGGTATTCCCAAACCTCGGGCGATATGTGAGAGTCTAAGCTAGCAAAGGATCTAGCCATCTGATAGGACAGTAGTTGCCAGAAAAGGGCGGAGTTCTTCAATTCTGTGGCATCAATGTTGTTTCCAAGTGGTTTTCATATCTTGCTGCTTCTTATCAGCCACCAGATGCTTATACTGTTTTTTTGATGGCAAGGAGATGTTCAAGGGACTTTATATTAGTGTTGTTGCTAGTCACTGTCTCAGCTTTATACAACTGAATTGATATCTCTTCATAGATTTAAGTTTCTATTTATCCACCTCTAAATTTGTTCCGTTTTTTTCTGAATTCTTCTTGAAGTGTAGTGCCAGAACTGGATACAGTATTCAGGATGGGGTCTGACCAATGCAAAACAGAATGGAAAAGTTACTTTCCATGATTTAGAAATTATACTTCAATTGATGCAGGTTTCTTTTAAAATTAAGAACTTTAGCATTACATGATACTTTGTCCCAATGTACCTTTTACTTTCAGTTCTTCAACTAAGTCTTCCCTACTAATTAATATCAAATCAAGGATATATGATCCTCCTGTGCCTTTTTCCACCTTTTAAAGAAGCTGTCAACGAGACAAATCAGGAATTTCCTGGGCAGACCACACTTGACGGATTTGTTTCTCAAGAGATTTCAAGAAAATTAAAGTGTCCTACTATTACAAATTCATGCCTCTTTAAAAGTTTTGTGAGGGGGGGGGTCAACCAGACAAAACACAATATGCAAGGCTCTTCTTGTAAACCATTATTTTTTGTTGTTTTATTTGTTATATAGAGATGTACTAGTTTCTGTAAGAGATTAATACTTTCAGATAATTATGGAAACAGCACTTAGCTAAAGCATATGAACAGATTCTCCTTTGAGTATTTAAGATTAATATGATCAAGAGGAATTTAGTTCAAGTTTGATATGTAAATGATACTAATATTTTTATTCCTATTTATTTATGGCATTTATCTATTGCCTAGGGAGACTCTAGCAGCTTACAAAAGTTAGATAAAACACAATACCAAATTAATATAATTAAAATAGTAAATAAAAATCTAATTAAGAGCAATATGCTAAAATGTATTGAGTATGGTGCTGCCGATTATGTCAGCCCTTCAAGGTAAATTAGGTGAGGAAACAGACTCCACAAGGGCTACTGGAATTCTGTATTATTGCTGTAGGGAATGCATGCTAGCTGGGGAATTCTGGGAGTGGAAGTCCTCACATCTTAAAGTTCCCACGGTTGAGAAACACTGCTGTAGAGTATAATAACAGAATCTTGAAAGTCTGCTGGAGTTTCCCTCTGTCCTTCCTTATACCATGCAGAATCAAGGTGGGTCAATCTCTTTCTAAACACATACATCTTTCCCAGGGCAGAGATTTTATGTACAGTCTCTTTATTAGTTAATGTCTCCTTCACCATTATCTGTGCCACTCTACAGGTTTTAATTACTCTTCAAAGACTTTCCAGAAGACTTCTTTTCAGAAGGCCATGAAGGTCAGGACCATCCTTGCCTCAAGGGGCAAGCTATTCCAATGTAGGGGAGATGCTACAGAGAATGCCCACCACCAGGCTCCTTCCCACCATTTCTCCTGGGATCCTTACTAAGTGTTCCCTAGTTGTTTGGGTAGGACAGGCAGTAACTACTGGGGAAAGGCAGTCCCTAGGAAACCCAGGTCCTGACCCATACAGGGCTTTAGAGGTAATGACCAGCATCCTGAATTGCATTCGGAAATCTACTGATAACCAGTGCGGCTCCTGCAACATAGGTGTAACATGGCAGTATTCCAAATGACTACTGAGCGTGCGTGGCACTGCATTCTGCACCAGCTGAAGTTTTTGGGTGGTCTTCAAGGGCAGCCCTGCGTACCGCGAGTTGCAGTAATCTAATATAAATTACATCTATATACTATTTTTGTGAATTTAGGTAACTTTCTCTGACAGTGGCATTCCTCAATATTTTCACTGTGTAAAAAACAATGATCTTTAGGAAAAGGTAGATTTAATGTTCCACACTTTCAAATGTATCACTTTGCTTTTGCTTTAGCTTTAGCTATGGAGCTTCAGAATTCAGCCCCACTGTGAACTCAGCTTAAAAGCTTTCATATGACTGCATTAAATCCTGGCAAGCATTGGGGTCCTTGTTTTTCAGGGACCAGGTTCAATATTTATATTAAATATTTTTTAAATTCATGTGTGTCAGGCTCAGCCCAAAGAACTCCACGAGACAATGCAAATACAGTTCTGTTGCGTTTATTAGCTTCCACCTCATGACAGAATCTCCCCAGACTGACCCCAAGTCCCCAAGCCAGTCAGCCACAACACCGTGAATTCTTTAGGGAGGTGCCAGCTTCATCTTGTTGAACTTCCCACGCTCCTGGGGGCTAAGAACGTGCTTATCTCCCTGAGCATGGCCTTCATAAGTCCATTCCATCACATGTGTAAGCAGCTATTTTTATAAGACAGAATTTTATTTCTCCTATTCAACAGAGATAGTTTGCATTTTAATTTCCTTTTTGTAGTAATTTTATTAAAAATTACAATTAGAACAATAAACACTAATACAAACTAAAAAATAGAAAGAAAAAATAGAAAGAAAAATAGAAAAGAAAGAAAAAATAAGAATATAGTTAAGAAAAAGAAAAATATACAAAGAAATGACTTCCACCTTCATTATAACAATTGTTTCCTTGTTTCCTTTTTTATCTTTTGAATCATCAGTAAAATAGTGCAGGCTGTGGAGGCCCTACCTCTCCCACACACTGGGGTTGGGGGAGGATGACAGGTGACCTGTCCATTGGGAGAGCTGGTAGTAGCAATACCTACCAAGCTATTGTCCCAAAAGGCTCAGCCATGCCACTACAGGCATCAACACAATCTCAAAGTATGTTTAATAAAGTTTGGTGGCCCTGCTATTGGAGACATGATAGAAATTAAAGCATTATCTCATATCATCTGGGCATATATTATTACCATAGCAAATTTTAAAAACAATTTTAACACATTTTATCCTTTGAAAAATGAAACATACTTGTAGCAGTGGCAATCTCACCCTCATCACAATGTATTTGGGTATGTTGCTTGCAAGTCAATCTATTTGCTGAATAAATAAATTGCAGCCATGATTTTTTTTTTCTTAATTTTGAATGGTATACCCCAAACAAGGAATAAATACAACTATATATGCCCTCTGATTAGAATGAATCCAAAGAATATTAGCAGGAAAATATTTTTGTTTTGAAGAACCAATAATCATAATCTTGAAAAATCAGCTTTCCAGCTATCCAGAAGGCTTCTTTGTACCAAATTATCATTTTAAAAAAGATGAGGTTTTGAGCAGTGCCACAGTTAATACTGTAAGATATGAGTTGCAAATCAGGGCTCTAGTTCTGCTCTGACTTATTGGATAATAAATCCCATTAAAACAAAATACAATTTACATGATATTCAGGCTCCATCTCAAATAATAGCTCAATGTCTCTCAACCCAGGCTTATGTGCAGTATAAAACCCTAGGGAAGAATGAAGCAGTAGACCTCAAATTCCACCCTCTAGCCTCACAGCTATTGTTAGATTAATGATGGAAGTTATCTGGCTGCAATTCCC